TTCTTCTTCTTCTTCTTCTTCTTTGTTGTTGTTGTTGTTGTTGTTGTTGTTGTTGTTGTTTTTACACTTTATTCCTTTACAAAAAAATATACGATTAATCTTACAAATTTTTAAAAAGGAATTATTTTTATGGTTTGTTAATTTTTTTAATAATGCTTTTTGTATCGAGAAAATTCGAAAACGGAAATCTTTCATTAAGTCTTTTCGTGAATATACAATTTCTTTAAAAATAAAGTTATATTATATTGCGATCACATTCATAAGATCATCGGATGTCTTATGAATATTATTTGCTTCTTTGTGCTTTTTTTACACTTTATTTTTTTATCCCCCTACCATTACATTAAATTAACATTAATTATATACTATAGGATAAGTCTAAATTAAGAAATACTTTATTATTTCGTTGAAATTAAGGAGTTCTTCTCTCACGTTCGGTCGTATTGAGTCAAATGATATTTTTGAATTACTCAAATGTAACTGTAATTCCAGTGAATTTTCATTTAATTTCATTAAAGCAGTCATTAACTTTAATTTTGCCGTAAAATTGAATTTACCGGCAGCCATAATTATACGCAAAAGTATTGCAATCGTTGATATCTTATAATTACTATTTAATTATTTTATTTATTTATTTATTTATTTGTTTTTATTTATTTATTAATTTTTTTTTCATTTAAATTCATAGGTTACAATCGTAATATTATTTGGTCACTTTATTCGATGTATGTCATGAAAAATCTTCCAATATTGCCGTATCGCGTCACTAGATTGGTATAACTTTTTTCAAAAATACCTTCGTAAAATTCAATTACTCGGTAATATGAAAATTCAATTTTATATACTTTCATACGAGGATAATTAGCATTGATAATTATCAGTTTAAATAGGCTTGGTAAACAATTTACGAAACCCGAGATAATGAGATATAATAAAGAGAGGAAATTGGCAACTTGTTTGAGAGTGGATTTTGTTCAGACGTTAAGCGATAGTTAATATCGCCGATCGAAGATATCGATTTAGAAATTAAAAGCCTTTAACGTGACTCGCGGGAAAATGATATTTTTTAATTTAAATCCCTTTTATAATTAAAGATTATCGCCATCCATTTATTATATAATATATTACGCAAGGACATACACGGAGACTTTTCCTCATAATCTCTTCATTAATACCGGATTTTTTATTAACAGCTATAAAAATTTGACTCGGTGGATAGCCGCAAATTAAATATCGTGGTAAATTTTAAATAATTCGACCACCTCGGTAATTCAATTGCCATAATTCGTACATCTCACATAAATGACTTTCTTTACTTTCTTCGTTACTTTACCGCTCGTAATATCCACGCAATTTCTAAATTTATGAATCTCAAATGCATTAGGCATCACACGCTCGAGCCCATTCGGTCTCTAATTTTCATTTTATAAGTGTGCCATTTATAATGATCGCTCCCTCCTCCTCCATCCACCTCCATCCTCCTCGAGAAGATTCGCTTACTTTTCTATCGACTGCTAAAAGCCTCGGTTATTTCGCTATCCGCTTGGCGCGTCGGGCAATGTTTTTAAATCAATCGCGCGATCAAAATGCGATGCCTTTTTCCTGCATCCGGCACCTGGATCAGGATAAATAGTCAAAGGGGAAAATATTGCACGCCGAATGAACGAGTAGAAGCGGATGGGGAAGCGAGTGCGAAATATACGACCGTAAGCCTGGATATAGATTAAAATACGTTTTCGGTATAAACAAAAAGAAGAGGAAGAAGAAGAAGAAGAAGAAGAAGAAGAAGAAGAAGAAGAAGAAGAAGAAGAGAAAATTGGGGGGGGGGGAAGAAGATGAAAACAATGACAGACAGATTTATGTTAACGTAAGCATTCGGTCGATCCAATAACGGCAAAATAATGGCCAAGGGGGAAAATGCATAGCGAACGTCCTGACTATTTGCACGGAGATTTTAGGGCAAATTCAATGTGCGTACATAATTATTCGCTAGGGTCGGACGACCACTGGGGCCAGCTTACTATAATAATACAAGCAATTCCAGCCTTGGCATAATTGGTTGCAAATGTACAACAAAAGTCGCCGTCCAATGCGTCCGTATGGCCAACGATAATGATAAGCTGTCGGGGACGTAAATCGTATTAATGCACAAGTGGATGTGTGCAGGGCGGGTCGAGTTGTATCAGAGCATCCGTTTACGCAATTGCTAAACGATCTCTGTCCGTTTAAATGGAACAACTCGGGTGGATATTGATAAGTAACTCGTACGGGCCCCGCCAAGGCGAGCAGATTAAGGGCCGAGTCCGGCTGTCAATGCTTTCAAGGGCAAAACAGTTATACCCTTAGTCCTCGAGGGGACAAAAGCGAAGAAGGCCGACGGATTCCAGAGCGATGGACCGATGGAGCGTGGCTTCGGCGATGTGGACGGAAACGGCCGAGTGTGGCTTCGAGCGACGTACGACTTTGTCGAGCTGCAAACTACGGAGATGAGAATTTTTATTGGCGACGGCCGGAAGCTCAGCTGACGCTGGTATACGCGATGCGCGATTTATCTTCTCGCTCTTCGTCTTGGCCTGGCCATTTATATACGACTCGACATTGGCTCGAGTACGTATATACCTGGGAGAATTAAATTCAGCGGAGAATTTTTAGCTTAACGAGATCCTCTTCTCCATACGATAATTTTATCAACGGTTCGCTTTCATTTTGGAAGAGAGAGAGAGAGAGAGCGAGAGAGAGAGAGAGAGAGAGCTGCTTCGAATTCTATGTAAATGGGAGTGGCAGGCTGGGTTAATCGTCTTGCCAAGCAAATGTTTTTCTTCATAATCTTTCCTTGGTCATTAACTGGCTATAGTTTTCAATTAAACGTATTACATAGTGTGATATTTTATTTACTTTGGGCTGATGCTTAATTATGGATTATACGCAGCTTGATTTTTCATTATCTTAAGCTTTGAAAGTAATTTTTAAACTGCAGCCCTTCTCCGCACTTCCTCGGAAAAACTTCACTGACACGCACGCACACACGCACACATATATTATCATCGTATAGAAAATTTTATGTCACTATTCTAATTGGCTTCTAATTCAATTGTTTACTAAATTCATTATCAGTTAGTACTTTGTAAATTGTGTTTGGACAATTTCAACTCTTGTATAAATGTGATTTCTTTTAAAACTTTATAGTTATAAAAATAACAACAACAAAGAAGACACTTAACGACATAAACTCTGGAATCTTTAAATTAAATATAAAATATTTCTTGCGATAATTAAATTAAAGTTAATAATCAATTTAAAGTTTTTTCATGCTGTTAAGCGTGACAGTAAGAGATTATTTAACTATCAATTTACAAATTATAATTCTCAAAATTTAATTGAAACAAAGAGATATATTTTTCAAATGTGATTAAATAGAAAAATTTCCGCTAAAATAATTTAAATAAGATTAAAAATTTAAAGTTTCTCAAGGTAATATATATACATACATATACATACATATATATATATATATATATATATATATATATATATATACTTTGATTATGGTAAAATTGAATAACGTAAGATAAATCATTATATTTGTGTTACGTAAATTGAGAATAATGATTTGCAATATTAAAAAAGAGAGAGAGAGAGAAGAGAAAGAAAAAACTTCCTAAATGTATCTTTCTTTTTCGAGGATATTTGTATGTAGTAGTGATAAAGCTCAAGTACAAAAAGTATTAAATCGATCAAACTTTAGTTAAGCTAAACTACATAAGTTAGTTGGAATGGATTTGTATATATGTATATATATATATATTTATTCGGATTTTCTTTTCTGATTTTAAACTAAAGTCGCAAAAGGTAACGTTGAATCTTTGCAAAAAAAAATATAAAAAAAAATAGCCCTTAATTCTATCCAAACAGTAGGAAACAAAAGTATTGTTGTAAGCAACAATATTTTTTATTAAAACTTGTAATAATAATTTCTAAGATTTCTAATAATCATGCTTCCTTTAATAAAATTTCAGGAGGATGAGAGAGAGGGAGAGAGAGAGAGAGAGAGAGAGAGAGAGAGAGAGTGTGTGAAATCATGGAATAATGCATTGAAGCTTGAAAATACCTTAAAAAATTTACAAGTCTAACGATCAATCGGTCCACAGCGAGTAACGGAAAAAGTCCGAGGATCCGGAGATGTGGTCGCGGGGATTCAAGAGACTGCTGCTGCTGCTGACGCTGACGCTGGTGCCGTCGTCGGCGGCCCTGAAGGACCAGCCCTCGCCGATGGACCTCGACCAGTGCGACTTCGAGAAGCCATGCGGCTGGGCGTGGAACGGTACCTTCCAGGTCACCAAGGCACCCATCGCCAACGAGATGGCACCCACGACCGACGCCACCAAGCGCAGAAAGGGTGAGACACGCCTTCCCACTTCCTTCGATTCCCTCATTGATATTTTGGAATTTTCATCTTGGGAAAGTGCAATTTTATCCCGACTCGCACGAGCTCCTACCAATTCCCCAAGCATACCGATTAACGAGGTGGTTACGGATTTCGTCGAGTGACCGAGCGGCCGCCTACGTTTAACTCTGTATTTCCAGGAAAATTCTTATGGATGCCAGGACCGGCCGAGGGTCAGCTGCGCTCCGGATTTATCCGGCACACACGTTCCCACTGCTACCTCGAGCTCGCTCTTTACCAAGTCGAGATGAAGCATGGCCTCATCAGCCTTATCATAGAGACCTTCAACAGGACGAGCTACGTGGCAGCCGAACGCGCAGGCAACAATTTTGCCACGTTAGTACAACCTTGCAATTATTGCGCTCCTGCAAATAATTAAATGCGTCATAGTTTCGCGGGGTTTGGCGCGAGATGGTCGCCTGCTAGGTTTAAGGGGATGAGAGATCGGCTTTAAAAACTGGCACATCCTTTGTGATTCACAATCATGGCCTGTGATCAAAGGACTCTCATTGATTACGCGCTAATTCTAATTCAACGTAATGTGATTTACGATTTCAAGTGTTTGCTGCCATATATTTCGTTTGCCAAGTCTTGCTTTCATAAAGAATACGAGGGGAATGGGAATTATGCGAGAGCGGCAATTATATTCTGTCGATAATTTAAATCGTTAAATAATTCGGCGCTTCAATAATCAATAAACGAGTATTTATAAGAATAAATTCTATTATTATGCAATAAGAAGTTTTTAAAAGCACATTTAATACTTATATTGACGATAATCCAAAAAAAAAAAAATAGTAATTTAATTGCGTATAAGTTTATTGATTGATAACTATTGCGGTTAGTAATGTTCCTCGATATCTTTCTGCATTTGTACAATGTATTAATGAGCAATTTATGATTTACAAATCAGAGGCCATCAAATATTATTTTGTTTCACAATATCTTATACAAATCATTGTTACTATTATTGTATGAAAATAATGATTATTAATTAGAAAATAATGCACTCGTCAAGCCCGCATACAAGAGATGGCAAATGAAGTGTAAAACATACAGGATTTAAAATATTAATTATTATTACTCGTGTTATCAAATACGCGAACAAAGTTTACATATTCCAATAAGGAAAAAAATATCGCGTATAAATAGAATTTAATTTTACATTCATCCCGAATTCTCTCAAACACAGATGCGTTATTAAGTAATTCTGTCATCGTGTCCGACGATACTCTAATTTTTAAATACTAACATGTCCGTACCGTAAATTTTTCATAGCCACATACATAAAACGAGTCCCCACTATTCGGCAAACCGAGATTTAGCACATCCCCGTTGACCTGAACCAACATCCAATTTATGCTCCTCGTTCATAATCATCTTCGCACCGACCCCCTTCCCCGCCCCCGCTCCCCGCCCTTCCGATATTTGCTTATCCGACTGAAATAAAGTCATTGCTGTCGTGCAAGGATCACGAAGCCCTTAAACACAGACGCGGCTGGGTCTGCCCTTTGGTTCCACAGGTGGGAGACAACCAAATTTAACCTCGGACGCATAAGCCAGGACTTCCGGATCATCCTGGAAATCGTCGTGCCGTTCGCGAACTCGAGCATTGGCGTGGACAGCATACGGTTGGTCGACTGTTTCCCGGAAACGGGGACCTTCTTCCACGGCGAGTGCACCAGGACTATGTTTCGGTGCGCGAATGGCGAGTGTCTGAAGCGCGACCACGTGTGCGACCTTACGGCTGACTGCGCCGACGGCGAGGACGAGAGCAGCGAGTGCGGTGAGCCCAAATCACTTTCCTCCTTTGCCTTTATTGTCGGCGACTGTCACGACCCTCGTCACCAAGCCCCGGGATCGCGTACTTTGATTATGAAAGAGACAGTCTCTGTGATAGGATATTTCAGGTCACTTGCTCTTTTCGTACAAAGTTTCAAGCAATTGTGTTCCCTCCATAACAGTTTACGCGCCCATTGTTACATTCTAATGCAATTGGAGATCGGAGGAGCAGTTGGAAAATACAGTAGCCGCGTTTTACATATTCCATCGATTTTCTTAATACAAGCTTACAATTAAATGCGTGATAGTCAATGTTTTTATTATTAATGGAATAAAAGTTTTAGTCGCGGATTAAATTAATTCTCCAAATTGTCTAATAATAGCGAAATCCGCTATTATCTAAATTTAATATTGGGAAAAACAGAAATTTTCATTAATTTTTTTATTTATAATCGGTAAGTGCTTACCAATTCTGAATCGCGGCACTTTCATCTGTATTAATTCCATACGAAAAAATATTAATTCATTTAAAGAATATTTTATAATATTGACTTTAATTTAATTTAAGTCTTTTCGAAAGAAAAAAAAACAAATAAAAAAAATAATCATGCCAACGAATTATACAATTTCTTATTTTACTATCGGGAGTAATTTTTTTTTTCTTAAAAATAGTTCGATTATTATGGGATAATCGTAAATGATTCGGACGAAATGGATCACGCGAATGCGTTTTTATAAATTAATCTACAATCTGTTCTTTTATGTCAAATAGATTTTTCCATGATAGTGTAAAATATTTATCATTACAAAGAGAAAAAAAAATTCTTATTACTCAAAAAATAAAATCATCCCACTGAAATTGATTTCCCTCTTTCATCACTATCACTCATCACAAATACTTTATTTATTTACTTATAATTTAGCTATGTTAAATATATATATATATATGGTAACGAACAATTCATCGTTCTTTATTTATTAATGATTGATATTATTGATTATATTATTGATTATATTGATGATATTATTATTGATTGGCGATAACGTACTGTCGATTAATACGAAAATGCGCGAGTAAATTTATTTGATGTTTGTATTAAAATACATTTCTACTAGCTGTAATTTACAGAAAATATGATATTCATGACTAATGTTATTGAGCATTAAGTATATTATACGTGTTTATGATATATGAAATATTATTCCCCTTTTACGAGTGAAATGCCCATATGGATGATTAATTCATCTTCTGCTATTCATGATATTTAACGTCTGATAAAACTACTTTGTATAACTTTGATTACGAGAAGCTATTCTTTTGTTGGGAATTGGATCGTAACTTTTGTAATATATAACGATGTGCTTACATTAAAGGAGAGAAAGGCCATTTAACTGATCAAAAACATCATTTATTGCTCATGCTAGTAGTGAAGTGTATTTTTAATGAGTAAAATTTCAAGTCTTAGGAATGTCACAGCTAGTAAACATTATACGACTCGGTATCCCGTATAGTCTCTTCGAAACTTTATTAACTTTCTTTCTCTTGAAACTTTTAATTTTCTATTTGTTCCTCCTCCACTATCCCTTTGCTTTTAATAATCTTAAAAAATAAATCAAAGTTAGTCAACCAATCAGTGTAATGATAGGCGCAGATTAAAAATAAAAGAAGAAAAAAGAGATTTCTAATTAAAGATTCAACTTCGTTACGACGAATCGATGACATCCTTATCATGAATATGCTTACTAATTATTGATTATTGTTTTCATAAATTCATATGTATAATACACTCTAATATAATGATATTCAGTTCTTCTTGGCTACAAGCTTTATAAATAGAATGAAAAATCGATATTTTTGTAATGCTGACGTGATTTGTTCTATTGGCATTAATAATCGCCAGGATCAAATTAGTTTTGTGCGCGAGTAATTGTTTTCATTTATCTAGAGTTTCGATAAAGCCAGCGCCAATTTTAAAAGCCATCCCTTGCTCAATTCTATTATTCGAAAAATAATCACGATGACACATCACCGCTCTAAAATCAATGTGTATGGCCGTTCATCTTTAAGAATGATAAATCTTCCTCGTAAACCGTATATGCTCTCTAGCGAAATAGCGAATGTCCTATTACCAATGGAAATGCTTTTTTAGTGATAGTGAATTTCTAAAAGTGCGCGTAACAGACGTCGCATCGTGTTATTTTTCAAAAATGCCAAGTCGATCGAAAGCATTATCTTTCCATTTAAACGCGAGTCAAATACACTCGTCACATCAAAATCGATACTTAGTACATTATTCTTTAGTTACAAAAGCCCACTGACCGCCCCAATTCTCCTTTCCACCCAATAAACAAATCTGCATCAAAGCGATCTCGATTACCCGCCTCCCACGAAGAATAATATAATTACCCCCAATACGGCGATAGCGAAAAAAATTCCCGAATGAAAAACATCGTGGAATCCTGGCTCGCTCGAGACGTACATCGTAGGTACAGAGGTCGAGAGTTTGTATTGCAATAATAATTCGATAATCGGAATTCCCGTGCAGATAAAGTGCCGGAGTACGCCAAGTGTGACTTCGAAAGCGGCTGGTGTGGTTGGTCGAACGAGATGAATAGGCCGATAAATTGGACGCTCCATCATGGGCCGACACCGACCGAGAGGATGGGACCCAATATCGATCATACCTATCGCAATTCCAGTGGTAATTAATTTCACGAGGGAAATTCACTTCACGTAGGCGATGCTTACTTTGGCATAAGTAGCTCCCACTTAAGGACCTTCCATCAATCGCCGTTACTTTCAGTTATCGAGCCACGGCCCGCGATACTTTTCATTACGATCGACCATTTTATTTCTTTTCCAATTTCCCTTAATTTCAGCATTGCCTACGTTAAGGGAGCATGGACTTTGTTAATGTAAATTTTCCTACATTTATATGTATATATATATATATATATATATATATATATATATATATTGCATACGTGTACGCGTATGCGTTGGCTTGATTATAGGAACTTACGCTTACGTGGATATGTCGAGGAGAGTGGATTATGGGAGCCAAGGAACAATAAATAGTCCTATTTTTAATCGAGCACCGCCGTATCACAGTGATCCAGAAAATCCTTACTACAAATCCTGCAAGGTACGTGTTTCAGTACTAAAATTTCGGTCTTTTTTTCGGAAAAAAAATTTTAACGCTTAACGTCAGTTTTTGCCTTTTATTTCCAAGGCGAATAAGATATAATGTCCCTCGTCGTTTACGGAAAAGCCATTGAAGCTGAACGTTATTTTCCGTATGTGTTGCACGATCATAAATTTCAGACAATAAATTATTCTTAGCTTCTTGATCTGTGGCTATAGGAAGGGATGCTCCTATTAATAATTAAGCTGAATAATGCAACGCGATAAATATTATAAGCCTTGAAAGATTATTTCGAAAATCTTTCTATAACTACGGAAGCTGAATTTTCACTCGATGTGCAAGAAAATTACACGCTTATTAAATAATTAGATGTTTGTAATTTTCCTTGGAAAAGTCAAACTTGGGAGCGAGTTTTGCCTTTCTTTGTGCGCCGTGTTACACCTTGCTCTCTCTCTCTCTCTCTCTCACTCTCTCTCTCTCTCTCACTCTCTCTCTCTCACTCACTCACTCACTCTCTCTCTCTCTCTCTCTCTCTCTCTCTCTCTCTCTGTATCGTTTCTCTTACAATTTCATTTCTCTTGCTCTTAAACAACAATCGAGATTTTTGCTCAAACGCAAAGTCCAATTCGCGCAACGCACCATCGAGCGAGCGTAACTTTTTAAGCGTGAAAACGCAAACTTTTCTCCCTCGACAATGTGCGTTTCACCCGAGTTGCAACATAAAATCCGCGTTATTCCGTTCGTATACGTTTTTTCTGTTTTTCATCACGACTCCTCGAGTCACGACATCGAGTCACGAACGCAACATTTCCCGACTCCTAGGAGTGCTGAGACATTCTCATGCATTATAACTTCAACCTTTAACGAGCGTCGCAATGTGTTCTCCCCCCCTGTATATCTCGTGCTTTTTACCTTGAATTTGCTAACCCTCGTATTGTCTTCGTCTTTTGTTTTCTTTAACTTTGCTTTTGCAGCCATTGTTTGTTTATTTCTTCATTGGAGACTGCTCGAACGGGACTGTACGTAAAAATTTTACTCCCTCAAAAACTCAGGCAATTATTATTATTATTATTATTATTATTATTATTATTATTATTATTATTATTATTATTATTATTATACATACGTTTGCAAATACAAAATCATTTAATGTTACCAGAAAAAAAAAAAAAAAAAAAAAAAAAAAAAAAAAAAAAGTCACTCAAAGATCCAATGAAACGATAAATAAATTATAAAATTGTAAGAGAAAGCTATTTTCGTTTAATTTAATTCGTACTGAAAACGAAGAGCGCAAATATCTGCATTTTCTTATTTTCTTGAAACCGTTGTGTCCTAGTGACCGACATTCGGCGATTCGACATCCGCGCACTACGAATTACAAAGTAATAAAGTGATATTGGCGCGTACATTATATTACATAGCGCGCATCATGAATATTCTCATTTGTTTATCCAATTGTCGCCAATGAGAAATGATAGTACTACGGATAAAAGGGCTGTCGAGCATTGGGAAGGGTCGGGGAGAAACGGGGGAAGCGCTCGAAGGCACTTTTACGGAGTCGCTGTACATTGCCCACAGGTGCGCTTCTTTTACCATCAATACGGCACGCACACGGTCGCCCTGGGCCTCTACCTCGTCCAGCTGAAGCCCCATCAGAATCACAGCGAGCGCATCTGGTGGTCGTTCAAGGACAAGAGCAGCACGTGGAACAGCCAGGTGGTGCCGCTCCACGACGTGCACTACAAGTACTTCCTGCAATTCGAGGCGAGGAAGAGTTACACATCGATGGGAGGCGTAGCCATTGACGACGTCTCCCTCAGTCCCGAGTGCTTTGGAGTTGGTAATTGCATTGCTCCTATCGTTACATCTCCGCATTTTCCGCGGTCAATAATAATAATAATAATAATAATAGGCGGTAGGTCAAGCCATTTCGCGCACCTTAGAATAGAGCGAGAGGCTCGCTACTGCGATAACCAAGCCAAGCCCGCATAATCCCGTAATTCCCATAATAGGTGATGCGTTCATTGTGTATTTTATTATTTTATTGTATCATTTTATCAGTGACGCGCATACGACTGCGAAGCAAAATGAAGTGTGGCGAAGAGGCAGTGGAGCAGAGATATAACGAGGCGGATGTGAGTGCGCGCCTGTCTGTAGATGCGTATTTTTTCGGAAATGGCTCGATATATATTGAAATATAAAACAATGTTGACAAGACATTGATGGGCTATTAGATGTACAATATCAAGTAGTATTAATCAAATTTGAGATTAATAAGTAGTAGTAGAAATAGCAGTGGTAGCGCTAGTGGTAGCATTGGTAAAGAGAGAGGGAGTGAGAGTGAGTGAGAGTGAGTGAGTGAGAGAGAGAGAGAGAGAGAGAGAGAGAGAGAGAGAGATAGAGAGAGAGAGAGAGGAGATGTGTATTGTAGTAAATTTGCCTTGTAAATTAGTACACCATTGAATGATTCTCGGGTATAATTTATCAAAATGAAGGTTCCTTACTAGCAAAAACTGTACTTTCATCGTTTTATTTTCTTCAAACTTAAATTATTTTACTCATTAATTCTTGATAAGTGCAGAATTCAATACAACGTGTTATGTGTGCATCGAGGATCAAGGCTCTCGAAAAGTTTCGAGGTTGAACGAATGGAACTCAACTTAAGTTGACTCACACGTTGACGGATTTATTTCGGATTATGGAATCGCTGAGAGGTCAGTGCGTGTCTAATCTTTAACTTCCACGCGATTTATGATTTCCAAATTCATATATTGAGACTGAATAAGCTTGAAAAGCAACGATGATAGGTCAGCAGCGAGCTTTTTATAAGAAATAGAATAGAAAGGAAGGTAGAATATTTACCCTTTACGTTACGTTTAACTGGAGTTCGCGTTTTCGTCTCTATCTCCCATCCCGCTCCCCCACTCCCCCCCCCCCCCCCCCCCCCACCCCCCCCCCCCT